TCAGATGTAATGAATCCTAACTTTTCAATAGGACCTGTGTAGAAAAACACTAATGAAATAAACATATCTATATTGCAAAAACGGCTTGCTTGATTGCATTGGTGTCTTCGAGAAAGTTGTGCAAAATTAAAATGCAATTCTTGAAAAAATATACACGGTTGAAAAACATGTGTTTTTAATGTAAATGTAAAAACCGTGAAATTTTCAAAAAATCATAACTTTTTTTGTTTTTGAGTTTACCATCACCAAACTTTGCCAGTTTGTAGCAAATATTATGAGCTTCAATGAGGCTTAAAACGAAAATTTTCAAAAATGTACTTTTTGAGAAATTAATTTTTTAAATAAGAAATATTTTTTTTTTTTTCATTGAAACAAACGAATTTTTTTACAGTGTATATTTTTAACATTATTGCCAAAATAATATCTACAACTTTACTCAATACACCAAATTAATCGAACAAAGCGTTTCAGCAATATAAATTTTTTAACTCATTAGTACTATTTTTACACAGGCCCTGTTAGAAAAGTAGTCGTGATTCAATTTGAAGAACTCAGTGCTAACATTTGAAAACGGCACAAAAGCCATTTGTAAACAAATGGTTTGTGGGCCCTTTACTCGCTACCCGAAGAACGCCCACGCAAACCAACAGCATCGTCAGGAAGGGGAAAATTTCCCCTACCCGATGTTGCTGTTGTGTCGCGTGGGTTACTTCAAGTTGTGAGTAAAGGGCCCACAAACCATTTGTTTACAAATGGCTTTTGTGCCGTTTTCAAATGTTAGCACTGAACTGATAACACAAATTGGCATCTTTACTAAAAAAAATTAAAAAATTCGTCAATCTGTAGAGAATTGCTCTATACGCTCTCTGACCAAAGCGCAGGATGTTGCATGGAACTGGTCGTTTGGGGCAAAATACAGGTTTAGCTTCAGGTTTCATGAAAAGCTTCACCATTGTTTTGTTGCAATGACCCAGTGATTCGTCGAAAACTTGTACGTGCTGTCGAAGTTCTTTGTCGAATTGTGGCTCGTCCTTAGATCCAATGCGGTTACAGATGGAATTGAACGGTACTTTCCATAGGTTGAACAGGTCAATCCGTGAATTTCTTGGACGTTACAATTTCCAAGCGCTCCAGGTCACGAATTCATCCGGAAGAATGATTACAAACACGGCAAGAAGGAACGAGTTGCAAGAAGCTATCCTGCAAATCACGATATTTCTTACGCGACTGGCTGTTCCAGCACCTACAAACACCGAGTAGATTCTAGATGCGCTATCAACCAACATCAGTGAATTTATCTTCGATCCAGACAACGGAATTACGTTTGAAAAGTGGTTTTCCCGTTACGCTGAGTTATTCGACAGTGATGGCAAGAAGTTGGACGACGCTACTAAGGTTCGGTTACTTCTGAGGAAGCTGGACACTTCATCCCATCCTCGTCGCCAAAATTGTTATGTTCCGCAAATCGTGGAACACAAATGAAAGTACAGCTTGAAAGTTCAATGTCTATCTTCTTTAATTTCAGAACGATGAATGAATAAAGCCCTACAGTAAAAGTATGGACGTCTGTCAAAAGTTGTTCCAATCGAACCGTCAAAATGCACCGCTTTGCTCGATTGGAAAAGCTTGTTTCAGTTTTGTGGTGACAGTCGTCCATACTTTTACTGTAGGGCTTTAGGAATGAATCGTTAACATTTAGGCAACCAATCAAGCTGGTTGCTATGATCCTGTGTTGCTGAGATCCAACATCAACGAAGAGTGGGATAATATCTGTAGTATCGAAATATCGATTTGGAAACACTAGAACATGACATACACGGAAATAGGTTGGCATGATTCACATTGCAAATCTTGTTGGACAAATTTTGATACTACAGATATTGAATTAGTCTTGGGTGATCTAGTAGAACAAATAATCTGATCTCCAGAATGATTTCAGTATCTATATCATCTTGTATACATAGAAATAGCACCGATGAAGAAGTAGGTCAGGCATGAATCTGTTTGGACATACTACAGACATTATTCCAGTCTTAGGAGATCTAATAGAACAAAACAACTGACTCTCATAGCTCTCTTTCAATTCTTTGTAGAATGGCCTTGGAATGATCCACAGAGTTCTTTTGTAAATTTACATTGAATCCTACTCACGATTGCATTGGAATTCTACTCAGAACTACCTGGAGTCTCCAGTTCCTCAGAACTAATTTGAAAGGATTCCTCAGATTTAACTTTCTTACAAATTCATCCTCTGATATTTTCCTCGCGATTCCGTTGAAATTATTCCTAGATTCTTGGAAATTGTTATCAAATCTATTCATTAGCTTTGAAACTTCTGCAAGGCCCGTTCCGTTTCGTTAGGTTCTAGATTCCAAAAATCAATGTAAGTTTAAAATCTGTAAAAATTACCCGTGTTCGGGAACACTTGGGGGTTGAATTTTGATTGATCCTCTTGGAATCCTTGTTTGAATAACTATCAAAATTTCAAAAATGTATCCAGTGTGTTGGCGATATACTGCTTCAGAAATACTGACGAAACACCAGCGGTTCATTGTCTTGAGTAACAACATAATAGAAAGCCTCCGACATGGCTTGATTCCCACTATCATCACGTTGCGTCGCTACGTCGAATCGGAATTCCATTCAGATCTTAAACGAGTGAGATCAAATCCCATAAGCACTTAAACAAAAACAATGTAATCTCCTTTTGCGAACGAAAAAGCCCACCCACACAAAACAAAACAATGGATAACCTTAAATATAAAGCTTGCAACAGATTCTACCTATTGACATACATTTCCGTTCGCTTCGCTGTTTCCAATACTCACCGCATTCCCGAATACGATGCCTACCATCACACTGCCAGTGTGTATTTAATCTCAATTATCTTTCAATTTGCATAATCCGTGACCGAACAACAGGGCGGTGACCTGAGGGAGCCATCCATTCATCCGATCAGCTCCAATAGCTATTCTCAGGGTGTCCATTTAAATCCAATTTTTCAATTCCCGGTTTTTTCCCGGTTATTAAAAAAAAACCCAACCCAAAAATCACCTCTGCTTTATACAAAAAGACGTTCTAAATTGACCGTTTATAGATAATCATATATTTTTGCCAGCAGAATTGCTCTACAATACGTAATGATCTAGATCTTAAAAACTTCATGGAATTTGTATAAAATCAAAGAGTCTCGCAAAAATGAGCCTAAATGTTGTTTTGTTAAGTCGGAAAAATCATGTATTAATGGTACCTGAACAGGAGAAACGCAGTATTATTTTCTTTTAATCTTCCTGGAGTTTAGATCTAAAAGATCTATAAGTCAAACAACATTTTGTGGGATACAAAGATGTGCTACAAACAAATTTATCATTCTCATTATCATTATTGTATTGAAGATATTTTACAGGTTAATCGAAATCTGGTCCGATTTTCACTTTTGAGCATTTTGAGTCTCCGTTCATAACATAATTTAAAATTATCAATTGTGTTTAAAAATAACATTGTTCGATTATCAAAATCATCCTGGATATCTGTTCTTGAAGTTCTGCAGACTCAACATGGCATACGATTATTCGACTTAATTCTTAATTTACCATTCTATCAGGAAGCCCCATAATATCATTGATTTGGATTATTTGGTTTTCCAAAATGCCTGGAGTTCAGATCGTTATTCTTTTTTAATGAAGTCACTTTAACACTCTTAGAACATTTGCGACTTAAATTTGAACTCATGATAATGATGATTACCCCTAGAAATGTTTGAGCTGGATGAATTATCTCTAAGATAATTATATACTTTGTCTTTGGTGTGAGAGGTATGGAGTCAGATCTTTATGTTTTACAGGCTAACCGAGGTATTCTACGATGTCCTAACTAGCTGGTGTAGCTGGATAGCACAAAGAGCAGAAATTATTTTTAATTTATCTCTGTACGAATCATCTTAGTTTGTTGATTGTGTCCGGTGTCAAACATTTGCATGCCAAGCATGATGGAGCATGTAAGGAGTTTGAGATCGGACATTTATTTATAGGTATGAATCTGCTTCTTATATACAAGTAGCTTCGTAACATAATATGTCTCGCTCAGGCTTTATACTAGAACTTCTTCCGGAAAATTGCAGCAAAAGAATTCAAACATTTTTCTTCAAATGACACCAACAGAAATTCTAAAAATATTGCTGATTGCATCTGAAACTGGACTGTCCCAAAAATGCGAAAAATTGTAATAAAAGTGCACGTTTCCGTCAAATCGTTTTGATGTCTTCCGAGTACTTATTGCTTGCATTATAAGGAATAAGTGCACCCAAGACACCAAGGCGATTAGACGTAAACTTGCAGTTTTATCACACTTTTTAATAAGTGAAAACGCGCTTATTAGTCCAATTTGGTGTGAAACACGCAATAACTCTGTAAGCTATGGTAGTGGGAACAACGGGAAAATCACCGTTTGAACAGATTGCGAGTGAAAGAAAAGTATAGTTTTTGTAATTTTGAGGATTTTTGATACTTTAACATAGTGTATATATATGATATAAAATTGATTGATTCCAAGTGACACTGCAAGTTTTATAAAGGTTTGAATGATTCTTCAAGACCAAATTATGGCCTACAAGACTGTGATAAAATCAAACTTAATACTTATATGATCTTTCCCGGTGAGATTTGGGTTTTCCCGGATTTTTCCCGGTTTTTTCCCGGCAACTCCAAATTCCCGGTTTTTTCCCGGATTTCCCGGTTTTCCCGGTTGGATGGACACCCTGTATTCTGTATCTCGCTTTCTCTCCACCATATTGACAAAATAATTAACATATTGGATGGCCAGCGATGGCTACTGGTGTGCTCGTATGAGCGATATAGCAGCTGTGCGGGGTTAATAATTCAAAATTGTACAACACTGGAGCCTTTTCAATCCGCCACTGTTGCATGGGAGGCAATAAAATAAACTGATCAATTATTTCCGTAGCACATGTAAAAGGAAAATAAAATAAATTATTCCGATGAATCAAGAATTAAAAATCATATTTTCAATTAAAATAACTTCAAAGAAAAGCAAAAACAATGTTGCCCAATTCTTACACATTCAATTGCCTGAGAACCGTTCAAAAGGTCAAGGATTTCAAATCTAACAATAGATACTCCTAAACCGGAGTAATCATCCTTACAAAAAGTACAGCTTCTTCTCGAGCAGATTGCTCGGAGGCTGATGGAGGAACTGCCCGACGAGGAAGGCCAGCTTGTGGGCGTACTGGCACACCGCCGGGACCCGGGTCGTTCCGGACCAGTTGTAGTACAGGTGGCACTGCTTGTAGGTCAGCATCTGCAGGTGGTCGATCTTCAGACCGGACGTGTCGTAGATGATATTGTACGCAGTGGGCGAAACCGTTCCCTGGCGGACCGATTGCGAGACGATATAGAAATCGGTGCTGTTGTGGACGGGAGGAAAAATTGCGATTAGTTAGTGGACATGAGCAACGAAGGGATCTAAATTACCGTTCCGGGAGAGTGACGACGTTGTCGACCACAGTTCCGGGTCTGGGGTTCTGCCGTCGATCGAAAAAGCGAGTGTTGATGCGCTTGTTGACCACGAAGAAGGTGAACAGAGCATCGTGGTCGGATCCTGCCGATCGGTACACTTCGTTCAATTTCTCCACGACCGATTTGACTTCGTGTTCGAACACGTAGTGCAGTTGACCCTCGCCGACTCCGTCCCGGTAGAAAATGATGCGCTTGGGTAGTTCTTTGTACTCCCTGCGGTATTCGTTGACGGCCTTGATGGTGTTAAGCGGCAGATAGTTGCTAATTTCTTCTCCGTGCGAGTGCTGGGTAACGGTGGAGAAGAATTTGGGTGTGCCTTTGTTGTCATGATCCATGGTGGCCACCATGGCTCCGTACGATTTCGACTTATCCTTTGCGTCGTGGCAAACATCGAAACCGACGGTCATTAGGCCATTGAGGGGGATTTTGACCTTCCACGGAACACCACCCAGTTTGCAGTTCATCTGGATGACGACCTTGGTTGCGACGGACATGAGCGTTCGCACGTTGCCACCCTTGGGTGTGATGGTCCTCTGGACCATGACCTGCGTAGGAACGGCACGATCAACGCAGCACTTCTTCTTGATGGCAGTGTATCGATCTGCCTTGTTGTTGGAGACCACGCACATAATCAACTGGGGATCTCTGTTCACTACGTTGTCCAGTGCCCGGATGTACGTTCCAGGGTTATCATCCGGAATAGTGATGACTTCGCATTGCCGGATCTCGAAACGCATGCCTCGAGCGGCCTGAATCATACATCCGAGGAAATCGTTCGCCTCGCGCTGCGCTCGATTCGGCACAATAAGATACCAGTGGTCCAACCGGATCGTATCAAACATTTGATTGTTACGGAAATGAGAAGTCCAATCTGCCTGGTCACCGGCTTGAACTCCGCTGTAATATAAAAAAAAAGTGAGGGATCAATCAGATGTCAGCCCGCCCTGGAATGTGCTATTCAAACGTACGGTGCTGTTGAGGAGAAGAAGATGGTTTCTTGCTGCAAGATTCGGCCAGGAACCTCGACCAGGCGCCGATCAAGCTCCATCTGCCAGATCTTGAACACTTCCGCACTTTCCGGCGTTGTCTGAAGCCGACGGTTAAACGTCTCCAGTCGTTCAATACGTCGATCTGGATTCAGGCGGGTATGATCGGACATCGCTCGCATCATCCTGAACAGAATTGGAAATTAAGGCAATAGTAGTAGAGACAAGGACACAAAGGGGAATTTACCTGAAATCCGTTCTCATCTGTTCGGTCAATCCCGTCATCTGGCAAAGTTCCGGCACGAGAGCCATCAACTCGTTGGCTCCCGCTCGAAGATCTCGCTTCTTGGCTCGCGACAGCAACATTGGCTGATTGGGATCTCGGATGTGTATGTTGTACTTTTGCTTATAGTAGTCAATGAACGACGTTTTGCCGTTCTTCGTCTCGAATGTGCTCTGCGGCGTTGTGTCGAAAGATACGTCGTGGATGGGGTAGGTTTTGTTGTTGTATCCGGTCAGTACAACCACACCGAGCACGGAACGAGTGAAGGCATCCTTGAAGTTTCGGTCGTGTTTCTGGCAGTCACGCAAAATGTCGTAACAAGTTTGCATGCGCATGGTCTTGTGAGCAATTTCGCAGCACACCAGAATGTCCTGCTCGTGCTGACGGATGCTGGTCATGTACCCTGGCCACAACTCGATCCGATATTCGGGAATGGTGATCTTGGCCGCCGCGTCGAACAAGTTACGACCCACCAGTTGAAGATTCAGTCCACCCATGGCACGGCGAAGGATCAAGTTCAGCACTTGGATGCCGACATCGTTGGTCATATCGACGGTTCCCGTGTGGACAATACGAATCTGATAAATATCTCCGGTCCGATCATGGCGACATTCCAACGACAACTGATCGCTTCGCAGCTTGTTGACCATAAAAAGCTGTGTTCCGTCGAACAGATATCCGCCGAAGATCTTCTTGTGTTGACTCATCAATCCTTGCATGAGGCGCATACTCTCACATGGTGGAGCAAAGTCAACGCGATACTGATGCAGGATCCATTCAGGGTGCTTCAACACTTTGAAGTAGTTGGCCTGGAGCTTCAGGGGTTGTCCAGTGGTACCTTGTTTTGAGGGGGCATCCAGGGGACGAGTACGGAGCGTATCCCCGACGGTGCGACGACCACGCAACGCTCCTCGACTTGTCCCTGCCGCACCATCTCCATTGCCATTACCATTACCCCCGCCAATGGAACTTGCCGCTCCGCGACCGGCAGCCGAATCACGGTGGACCAACGCTCGCCCTTCAGCACCCGGCTGCAGGGCAACTGCTCGGGGCTGAAACAAGAGGAACATTTAACTAATACCCAATTTCAATGCAAAGCAACTACTCCTACCCCAATGGCAATTCCGCTGCCTCTGACGGGCGCTTGACCACGTCCCTCCCGAGCTTCATGGGACAAATTCACTGCCGTGTAGCCCCGCGCACGGGCGCGTCCCTGCGATTGACGGTCAGCCATGGTTCTGAAAAAATCACTACAAAACAAACTGCGCTAGGCGTTTCCAAGTCAACAAAACAAAACAGAAGGGCCTACGCCCCAAATGTGAATATCAGCCCAATCCAGCGGTAACGAAATCCTTTAAAAAAAACCCTTTCATGCCAAGCCCCGGAAGACATTGGACTGAGAATAAGTTTGGAAATGTGGAAAAGCTCCAAGGAAATAGAAAAATTACTGCCGGTATTAATTAAATTTCATTTTCCACCGACGAAAAATTTTCCATTCATAAAAAACAGTCACTTACCTGCGAATTTGGTTGGACCTGCTACAGCTGATAAAATACAATATATTCTAAATTTCACTCGAGTTTTCTTTGTATTTTGTAAAACTATTTTCTCAAAATCTTCCAAGAGCACCGAATTCGCACGAACTAACGAAACAACGCACTTTGCTGAGTGTACAGGTTATGTTCAGGTTCAGCTCGATTAAGCACGATGCGTCCGGAAATGCATCGAAAAAAGGATAAAAAATGGACGTCAACACTTTGTGCCCAGTGGGCTTAGGATTGATCGATTGGGGTGAGTGCGACTGAACATTTACGAATGCATTTATTTAGTAATGGGCGATCTCGGCCCGTTTTTCTCATTCTCTATTTATTTCAGGGGGAACGACACTCATTTGGATGCATTTTTTCACTTTAATCATTACTTGGGATTTTCGGAAAAAACATAATTGATGGGATTTTTTTGAGTGTGTCGTCTTGACGAAAATAGAGCAAGGATAGAAAAAAAATAAATTGGAATGGATCATGGGATGGAATGGATGTGAGCGGTGTAAAAAAATTTCGGGACTCGTATCCCGTCTGAACGCGAAGAGGATAAGTCTGGAGTGCATTTTGAATTGGTCGTATGTGATAAACGTAAACAAATTGACGTTTTAATGCTACCAGAAACTACTTTGCTTACTTTTCCTAAAGTCAAAATTTGGACTCGTTCTGTTTCAGCACGAAAAATTAGATCGACGGAAAACAAATCAAGGAAACAAATATGTAAATTCATGGTAAAAAAACACAAAACGTTGAATTTCTCAAAACACCCCACTTTAATTTTTATATTTCTTCTGTAAAAAAACTGAAGTACTACTCTTAAATTTGATGAAAAGTGTAAGCTGGTAACTCCTGTATTTTTTAAAGTTTTTATTGATTTATAACGATATTGCACATTTTTTTGGTAAAATAATAATTTATTTAGATTTTCACATAATTTCTGTTAAATTTGTTCACATGAACTTTTTTCCTAAGTCCAGACGTTCTTAAGTTAAGGCCTGTATAGAGATCGAAGCGAAGCGAAAATCTCATACAAAATACTACATTTTTCACCTGCGCGAAAAATGCAATTGGCAAATATTTCGCTTCGCTTTGAACTGTAAACAGATACGATCCAGCGAAATCTAATTTTGTGGATCGTATCTTTTTCGCTTACGTTTATTTTTTTTCGCGCATGCAGCGCTAGCGAAAAGAGCAGCAGCTAAGCGAAAAGTTGACGTTTCGAGAAAGAGATCTGTCAGATTTTCACTTCACCGGAGGTGTAAACTGATCGATTTCGTTTCACATGAACTGTAAACTGCGAAAAAAGGAAACTGGAAAATGTTCCACAAACATTTTTTCACTAGGGGCATCCCACTCTAAACTTCATACCTAATATCAGTAAAATATTTGTAAATCCCGCGTAAGTATTCTTAAGTATTTTTAAGTATTTTAAACCATGGCTATAAATTTCCATCGAAGTAACACTTATTTTTGATGACCGGTTGCTAGTGCATGTGTTTGTTGTTGTCGGTCGTCTTGTATTTATACAAATAGGAGTGTGAAGTATTTTTATTATGTGTTTAAATTAGTATTATTTAATTTATATTTTTCAGCAATTCAGCTTGTAAATATGCTTCAAGAGCTGCTTATAAAGAATAATATTTTCAGTACAAGTTGAACGGTGTTTACCGATCGACTGAACTCAAAGTGTGTATTGGCTCACATATACCCTCTCGGTGCACAAAGATCCTGCGATTATCAATATTGGTGTATTCAGAATTCAGATATGAGCGTGCATTAGCTGACCCGAGCAAAAATTTGCGATGGCATGAGGCAACTAGTACTTTTCTATTTCTCTCTCTCCCTCTCGTACCGTGGACCTACCTAGCAACGAATCATCTGACTACGATTTTGTTTTTGCAGTATCGAGGAACTGTTGCCGTGAAAACGTGCAGGCCTGAGCAAATACAGGATGAAAAGTTTATCGATCTACCGGGTGTTGAATGGGAATGGCCGTTTTGACTCTCCTTCTGAATAAACTACTAAAATGATTATTTTGAAAAATTAATGCAATTATTATATCACATTGAACACAACGTTTTACTTGTTTTAATTATACGTAGGAAAACAACGAAAACTAAATCCATTCGTTTAAATAATTCTGACTATGTTGCTTATACTGTGTCCAGTGGCCTTTATGGTTTATTAGGGGAAGGAGGGACATAGTGAACAGGTGGGGCATAGTGAGCATCCCACACTTTGGCTTTGGATCTCCAGCTGCATGAAACAAATCAACTGGTAGTAGGTTCAATATCACTATGATATTGATCCTACCACTAACCAATTTGTTCCGAACGGCCGGAAGTTCAAACTGGTGCACGGGATGCTCACTATGCCCCGAGCTATGCCCCTCTTATCTCAATCTACTGTAATAAACATGTTCTGCGTTTAGAAGGTGGAAAGCTAAGAGATTTGCATTTCCGTAATACGCCCATATTCTCGTTTAACGTACTGTCCGGACGTAAACGAGAATATAGGTGATAGTATGGTCATATGGTTTCGTACATCCAATTATGTTCTTATCAGGCATTGTCATAGTCACACAGCCAAGAACCGAGCGGAAAAAAAAGAACAACACAAAATTCACTATTAGATTGGTTATACAAATTATGGAACTCGAACGAGTAACAACAAAGGTTCCAATGCCTATCAGAATTAATTCTTTCTGGTACATGGTGAACAGATTACACCGAAAATGGTTCGGAACACCTAAAGCTGTTCACGCTCTTAATCAAATGAATGTTAATTGTTTAACAAATTAACCAATATCCACACAAAACGCCTGACATTGGATAAACAAGCAAATTAAATTTACATAGCAACCAAGCAAATAAACTAACGCTAGATATTTCTTAAGTATTTTTAAGTATTTTTGGGTATCTTAGATATCACTAATACCCCGTTCACATTACAGCGTATATCACGTGATATACGCTGTCTTGCAATGAGCACTCATACATCTAGTTTTCACTGGAAATCCTATGTATGGGTGCTCATTGCAAGACAGCCTATATTACGTGATATAGGCTGTAATGTGAACGGGGTATAAGATCTTTATATGTATATTAGGAAAAATACAAAGTTTAGAGTGGGATGCCCCTAGTTTTTTCACAACCTTCTTCGCTAGCGAAATTTCATGATTTTTCGCGTGCTTCAATTTTCGTTTCGCTTCGACCTGTATACTAGGCTTTAATGCGAATCACAAAATATTAATTATCTAAAATCAATATTTTAGACTATTTTCAAATGTAAGTCGATATGTCCAGCAACAAAATGTGTTTTCCATGATTGTATTAAATAACAAATAATAAGTTTGCATGATTTATTCTCAGATTTGGTGGCTGTCAGACTTGCCCGTTTCTATATAGGCGCAGCGAAAGAAAAACAAGTGTTTAATTAAATACTCTCCGTAAAGTAAGAAGCTACGGCTGGTGGTGATTGATCGCTAGGTTCCGGTTAATATTCCAGCTCTATTTGGACGAGAGTTCGATTCGCAAAATTCGCGCACAGAAATTCCATCAGCCAGCGGGCTGATCCTTCTCCAAACTCATGACCCAAGAGTACAACTTGGGACGAGTTCGGTTCCATTGTCCGGGGAGGCTTTTCCCGGGGCTATGATCAGCAGTTTGGCACCTTCCAAGCTACTATACACCGACACCTGGTTGCTCTTCTGCGTCGGATTCAATCGTTTTAACCCCGGAAAGTGGATGTGCGTTGCCATCTCCTCCATGATGCGCTTGATGCTTTTGTCCCCGTGACCGATTATGAACGAGTGGTCCATCGTTTATTTTAATGAGATCGTTGAAAACTGACAGCGATTATGGCAGAGTGCTTCGCGGTCGACATAAAAACTGCGAGAAGCTGCACGGCTTGCTTGATAATTTGTGTGCATGCAGAAGGGATAAGTTGGGAATAGAAAGAATAGATTTGATGGATTTAAATTTTGGGCACGTTGAAAATTTTATGAGAGATTTGGGTAAAAATGGGATAATCTTGAAGTGTCGTTCCCCCTGATTAATTTATTTATTTATTCTGGAGTAACATGTCAGAAGGGCCTAACTCGAAAATGTAAACAAACTTTTTTGTGCACACCAAATTTTTATCGCTGGAAATCAGCAATTTTTTACTGAATTTTGCCGAGCTGAAATTTCAGTAATCATTTCAGCAAAATAAAATTACTGAAATTTCCAGAAATGTGAAATGTCATTCTGCTTGACAGAGATTTACTGAATTATCAGCATATTTAATAGATTAGCTGAAAATTAAGCTAATTCGACAACCGCATAATTTGACAGCACTTTGCTGATAGAATTCAGCAATATTTATCATTGTACCGAAAAATCAGTTTTTTAGTTTTAATCATGCTGGTTTATTCAAAACAAAATTAATATCGGTTTATCATTGAATCATTTTGATTTATTTTAACAAATTCAATTTAATTCCCATACCTTATCGTAAATCATTTCAACATATTGGTTGCTGTTGGTGGTGGAAATCTGGTGCCCTTATGGATGTTTTTTGATGATATGCTGCTTCAGACTACTGAACTTCTGGTAGCTCATCCTGCAACCTTTTTTAGTGCATGTGAAGTGAACAAGCTCCTTATCAATATGATGTTTATTCTCGTGCACTTTTAGGTGTCGTCGAAGTCCATCAATATATCCCTCAACCAACTGATGGCAGTAGACACACTTCAGGGTGTCTGCCATTGCTTTCGAGGCTGAAGAAATCACAAAATTATATTTAATTATTTTTCTTACCAAACAACTCATCCACGTCACAACGGTCAGCTTTCAGATTCAGCAGAGCTTCCTGAACTTCCGGATACATTACGCACTTAATTTGTTGCAGAATAATTACTCAAAAACACACGCGCACTACACTCAGCGTAGTCGAAAGAAAACATTGACGGCTTTTATTTTTTTTTTATTTTGACAGAGTGAAAACGAGACGATGAAATATGCTGAATTTTCAGCAATCTTGTCAAGTTGCTGGTTTTCAGTTAAAACGAACCAAATTGCTGATTTTCAGTAAAATCGTAGATTGCTGATTTCTTTTCAGTAAACCATTTTGCTGAAATCTTTGATCAATTTTTGGTGTGTGTGTTTCGCATGTTGACGTGGGC